TATCTTTCCATTGCCCTTTCCCACCAAGCAGTTTTTGGTATTTACTACTTTTCCTTTCTACAATAATTCCTCAAATATGTTGCTGCACAGCAATTCCTGAGTCTGCTCAAGTGCGATCAAACGTATGCTGATTGCACTTAACCTTAGAGATCTTCAAGACTGATGGCTTTAATCGATTACTAACAATTGCTAATTGTCTTAATTGTTTTAATTGCGGAAGATTTTTTATCCCACTGCAGACGCCGTCCCCAGGCCCGCAGCCTCCCCGCCAGACACCCCACGAGGTGTCCCTGAGCCCCGCTCCTCTCTCCATCACCTCAGCCCCGTGGCCGTGCCGGCCCTGGGGGGCACACGCTGCCCCCCCTGGGGCACACGGCACCCAGCAGCCAGCATTCCCAGCACCCAGCCCGGGATCTGGGATCTTCCACTGGGAGAACTGGGCAGCAGGTGCCTTCAGAGATGTCTTTGCAGGGAGCCACAGGCTCCGCTTCTCCAGGTTTCTTTGTCTCTGTTCTCATATTAACTCAATGCTGTCTGCGTTTTACTTTCCAAATGATTTATTTTTAGCCTTTGCTACGACCTTCTGCAAAGCACTATCAGAAATTTGGGTTCTCATCAAGAACTAGAGGCAGGCTTCATTAATTTGGTAACAGCTTTCTATTGACCAAGGTGGGGCTGTGATTTCAATCGCCACAGAGACCCGGGAGCCTAACGGTAGGGCAAGGGTGAGTCCCACGGGGGGGAAATGCAATTCTGCTTACTTCTACTTTGCTGTTAATGTTGTGTGATACGGGGCAAGTCATAAAAACTCTCTGCTTGTATTTTCTGGGGCCCAAAATAAAATTATACTATTTTTCATTTTCTGAAGTGATGCAAATATAGAAATAAATATATAAATGCAAAGTTCATTTTATTACATTTACTCTATTTGTTCCAAAGAAATTGCTCTGTAGAGGAAAGCTATTTTTAAAAACTATTTATTTCAGATGTTATTGCAGATGTTCTCTTGCACATCCAATTAAAAATCATGTTTTCTGTAATTTATAACTTAAAAAATCAATTTCATCTACGAGCCTTTTGTGTTTAGTATTTTAGTACGAGGCATGAGACTTTGAAGTAAGGCACAGGTAAACCGTAAAATTAGCAGTTGTATTTTCTGAGGGATTGTGGAGTTTTTTCTGTGCTCCACAGGGAAAGCTTCAGCAAACTTGAGAGGAATAGCTTTGCAAGCGCGTTTGATACAAGGCAGGCTATATTAAAAATAACACTGACGGAAGTACTACATTTGCAGAAGATCTTTTCAAGTTTCTAATCTCAATCATTAATTTAAATTGTGGCACAGTTGGAACTTAGAGAAAACATAAACAACTGAAGTGTGACAGAATCTCAACCCAAAACAAGGAGGCAGCAGCAGCCCTGGCGGGGTGACACCTGGCTGGGCAGGGTCTGTGGGCTGTCACCTCCTGCCCGTCCCGGTGAAGGAGTCAGAGCCGGACGCATTTCTTGGCAGCAGAGGTGGAATTACAGTGCTGTAAGGCTGGCGTGGGCTCACGACCAGAGTCAGTTCATGGTCATTAATACCACTCAAGTCTGTCATCTGCAGGCACTGCCGGGGCTTGTGTGGTGCAGGGCAAATTCACTGATCTCCTGCTGCCGGTGCCTTAAAACCAGAAGTTTCTCAGAAATTAGAAGGCTGCTTACCTCGGGTGCACTCTTCTCCGTTGCTCTGCGCATCCCGTCATCAGACTAATTAAAAGCAGGTGCATGTCAGCTGCAAGATGCCGCTGTTTATTGTCCCTTGTCTATCCTCCGGCATTCCTGAAAAATGAGGAGGGCAGCTAATGTGGATGCTACCTCAGGTGCACGCCGAGTTAACTCTGCCGTGCCCGACTGATAACAAAATCCAGAGGCAGTACCCGAATGCTCCATCCCGAGCTCCATGGGTGCGCCCAGGCTGAGCTGTGCTGCACGGCTGTGACCCTGTGTGTGTGCAAACCTCAGCACACCGCGACAGAAGGCAGTCACTGAGGGGTGCCAGTGACACAGGCAGTGACAGGACTGTCTCCTACCACCTCCCAAATAACCGAGGAGCCAAAATGGCATTTCTGTGTTTTCCAGCACAATGTAAGAGGACAAGAGCCCAGGGCTGCAGGGAGGTCCCCAAGTGCTGGAGAGGTGGACACACAGCTACCTGGGGCGTGACCGAAATGACACAGGTGGAAAGAGAAATGTGACACAGCACCAGTGCGAAGCAGTAATGTTCTCCTGTTTCACCATCCTGAAATATCCCAGAATCTGCTGTCAGTCAGGACCAGCTTCCCAGGGTTCCTGCTTTTAACATCACACAAATATTTTCATCATCTCTTCCATCACCTTAACAAAGAAAAAAACCTCAAGACCTTTGGTTTATTTTTTTTTTTTTCCAATCTTAACAAAGAAAATGCCTCATCTCAATGCCAGGCTGTACTTTATTTCGACTCCCTCTCTCCCCATGCACAGCCTTAACTTCCCCCCGCAGCCCCCCGTTCAGCAGTGCAACTAAACTGACAGCTCCATCTTTCTCCTTCCCTCTATTTATTAGAGGAGATGTGGAGGCCTCCATCACACGGGGGAGGAAAAGTGAAAATGTAATTGTGAGAGGAGCACAGCACATTTTTCACCTTGGTTCGAGCACTCTCTTTTATCTTTCTGTGCATAAATTATCCACCTCTGCCCATCCACTTTGCACCTCCAGTGTTGCTTGCGCATCCTGATGATAAAAATAGCTGAGTAACTCTTGTTGATAGAAGATCTGAAAAAGAGTGTCAGTGGGAGTGTGACTGCCCTATTTTTGGTTAATTAAAATGTGAATGTTTCCTCTGCTTCAAGCCCTTTGTGATTTCATTTCTTTCCTTCCAAAATACTGAGCTTAGAGCTTTACATGTGTGTGTTAAGATGGGGGGCCCCTATCCAGCAGGACCCAATGCCTCTCCCCAGAGGGGCACAGAGCCGTGGGGCCAGGGCTGGCAGCAGTGTGGGGTCTCTGTCCCACCCCAGTCCCTGCCGGTCCCCATGGACAGTGGCTCAGGAAGGCACCCAGGGGTTGAGCATCACCAAGGGTGGTAGTTTGCTTGCTTTATTTCATGTGGAGTAGGACATTTCTCAGTGCTAGTTCAGCTGGCCGAAAGCATTCCTTAGCTGTAATTCTGATACTGAATAAGGAATCTGGGTTCTGGTCCCAAACCAGGTGACTGACCTGCCTGGCCAGGGTAGCAGCTGGAGAGCCTCACGTAAAGTGATAATCCAGCACTTGGCAGGCTGCTGTAGGAACTGTTACAGATTTGCTGTCATATTAGCAAACTCGAGTTTTCATTTCCAGCATCTTGCTATGCAGATGGTCTTTCAACTGTGGTTGCATCTAAACAGGAACCCAGGTGGCTGAAAATCAGCTGGGTTCACAGCGAGGCTTTGAACCTGACAACGTGCCTGGCGTGCTTTCAATGCGCTGGTCTGTGCTGGGACCACATCAGCTGGTGTTAGATTTGAGGCTGCTGCACATATGCACTGTTCCTGTTTCTGCAGTTTTTAAAAGGTCTGGACCAATGTGGCATTTTGTCCTGAAAGGAAACAAGACAACAACAAAAAGAAAAAAAAAATTAAAAAAAAAATAAAAGAGAGAGAAGGAAGACATTGCTTATCAAGCAATAGTCTTTTTTGTAAAATGAGAAGTGAATGATAAAAAGTAGTACTGGGAACTCAGACAAACCTGCATGAAACCAAAAATCCTTGTTCTCTTCAGCCACGAGCCCAGCATATCACAGGTCAGCACATTTCAGCAACATTATGGACAAGTTCCATCACAGAGAAATTAATAATAGAGTAATACAAAGAGTAAAGTCCAAGACTTCAAAAGGAATTGAAAAATCTGTGTTTCAAGTCAGAAACCCATTTCTGGATAACAGGACTGTAAAGGAGATTTTTAAGATTTTCTTCTTTTATTACTCTTCTTCTGTACCTGCACATTCCTCCAAAACACCTGGTCTCAGCCTGGCTGAGGCAGGTTATGCTAGAAGAAGCTCCTAGCCAAATCAGAAGTGCAGTTCTTGGTATCTGCAGTCTCGGATGTGCAGAGGCACAAGTGTTTTACAGATCATGTGTAACAGACTGACAACACCTTCCTCTTAGTTTCCTCTTGGTTTGCACATTCCCACCTTGATTCCTTAATAGTGTGGCCCGTTTCACCGGAATTTAGCAGGAGATTTGTGCTTGCTGCTTATGTGGATAAGAGACTTTTGTCTTCTATGTATTTTCAGTCAGCAGTTTCAGATGAGTCATTTACTTATGACAAACTGCAATGCTATTAACAACATTTGATAAAGTATAACAGGAATCATACGTCTTCACAGTTCCCAGGCAGGAGGAAAATGAATCCTATTTGCACTTATGGGACAACATGAGGAAGCATCTTATGAGAGTGCACATTACAGGACTGCAAGGCATTGGTGTTATGGCAATATTTCAGTGCAGACTTTTACACTCAGCTTTAATGATGGTGTCAACTCAAGCATCATTGTTAAACAATCTAATCAGGTCTCTTAAACAGCTCATTTTGAGGAAAATTGCAAGTTTCAATGTAGGGACGAGCAAAAAAAAAAAAAAAGCTTAATTGGAAATCTAGAGAATGTACATTATGAATGGGTTGAAGAAAAGCTATCAATTTTTTGAAAATGTGTAGTTTTTAAAAACAAAAACAAAAATGTTTCATCTATCATTTACATCTCAGAGCATAACCTGAATTTTTGTGTCTTTGGCTTTCTGGCTGACAAACACAGGTTCAGCTGACTGCTGGATCTGAAGTCTGGGAGAAATTTCCTTGCAGAACGGTAGTGTGACCTTTGGAGTCTTTTTCTGTCAATTCAGAGGCTGCTCAGCATCATTCTTCAATTGGGGTCAAGAGGCTATGGCCTGGATGACCTGCTGGAGCAATCCTTCTTGGTGTGCAGGAGATGTCTGCTAAAAAAAACTCTTTACTTTTGCTATTGCTTTCTTTATGCTTTCTTATTTCAGACATATCTTCTGCAAAGGAGCAGGAAATTTCAGTCTTGAGAAGGATTTGAAAGGTAGAGGTTTCTGTAGTCTTATGTGTTCACTACTCATGCACATCAGGGTTTGCTGAGATGCTAAAAAGAAAGGTATGGGGCAGGTGGCAGCACTGGAGAAGCCAAAACACCCAGAAGATGGAAAGCAGCTGTGGCCTGTGAGTAAAGGTGAGCCAGAGTAACATGCTATTTATTTCTCGCTGGAAGTAGTCAGAAGTATCATTTTATATTTTGCCACACTCCTACACCTGCTGCGAAGTGTAGGTGCCAGGTCCCCTGATGCAGTGCCTCAAATTCCTTCAGATGGAAAGACTGAGAGGACTTCAAACCATGCTTTGAAAACTTACAGAACTGCAAAATTTATACTAATTAGGAAAAAAAACAAAACAAAACTCAAAGCCTCTCTAGTGGAACTGCATTCTGTGCCTTCCTTCCTTCAAGGCATACGTAGAAGTGTTTTTGCTCTTTTATTTAGAGATGTCTGGCTGATTAGACATTTTACTGCACAATATAATAATTATGCAAACACATGTATAGAACTTATATTTACAATGTCATTTTATTTTGTAAATGCTCATATTTTTATTTCTTTCATATTCTAAAAACAAAATATTTTGAAAGAAATTTAAGAATGACTTTATAGAAAGAACATAACACCGTGCGTCCTTCTAGCAAGATTTTTTAAATCAAAATAAAAAATTGTCTTTATTTTCCACTTTATTGTGTGACAAAACCTTCTCTTTGCTGCATTCTCAAGAGAACCGGTGTTCATTCGAGTAAGGTTTTACTCCTAGTCTCTCCAGATAAATATATTATAAGAATTCTTAGAATAGACTCTTACTCCCTCAGACAACGACAATATAGTGGGGAAAAATAGCCAGAGAAAATTTGTCAGAAGGGCAATTTTCAGCTAAGGAACACGGTAATATTAATCTGTGCTCTAAAAGTCAAGTGTACTTACTGCTTGCTTATTGTTCTGCATTGCATGTCCTGAGGTTGCTATCAATTTAAGTCCTGTGTTTTTGAAAAACCAAAGGGAAATAAAGTAGGTTTACAAGCATCAGGAATTCAGGGTCATCAAACAGGTAAGTCCAATTATTCCAGCTCTTAGATCTCCTCCCTATGCACACGAACATTTTTCAGAATAAGGACTCTGCTTTAAAAGAGACCCAACTAATTTACAACAGAGGAAAAGCAGGTCTTCAGAAAGCTTTCCAGATGACTGTGCCTCATTCCATCTGAATGAGCCGTGTACAGAAGCCAGTTATTAAAATACCTGTTTGTATTGGTAGTACTTGTTCAGAGTTTGGGACTGTCAACTTCTTGGTACTTCATGAATGCAGAAGAAAAACTGTTTTTAACAAAATAGCTGAAACTTACTGTGGTTCTCTTTGTAGCCTGACTGTTTTAGTAATCTGTGTATTTACCCATGTATGGGTTTTATTGAATGAAGAAAAGCAAACAGTAAGTTAAGCATGGCTACACAGGAAGAAAATGTATCCTTCCTTCTCCTCCTTTAATTAAATAATTGATCCAGATGCACCTCCACCTGTCCCCCACCCCCCAGCCACTGTTTCACACGATCCAGTCTCTCAGGTACACGACAGAACAGTAATATAGCCTTATCCCTAGGAGGGACCAAGTCTGTTTATTCAAACGTTAAACTCATCTATCTCATAAAGCAATGAACTCCCGGACTAAAAATCATTCCTAGAGATCATTTCCTATGTGAAAATATTTGTTAAAACCCAGAGACTTAACCAGGCCAAGCATGGTTATGACCGATTTGGACTAATGCTAGTTTTCAAAGTTGAGAAACATTTTGAGACTAATCCTCACAGTATTTACTCTGCATCTCATAAGACCGTTTACCCTGGGGAAGGCTTAACTGAGCAAGAATTTGTGGAATACTCTGAGAATAATTCTCCTGTTCACACTCTCCTTAATAACGCAGGCAGTGATGCAGAAGAGTAGGATTATTCTAGACAGTTCCCAAGAAAATGCTTGTACATGCTAATGAGGAAAAAAAGAAAGCACTGGTGTTGTTCAGTCTAGAGGCAAGAATCCCGAGGAGGGACATGAGAAGTCTTTAATTATGTAAAAGCATATTGCACAGAACAAAGCATTAAGCCGTTATCCATGTCCACTCAGGGCAGTGTGAAAACAGATAGGCTCAAATTGCAGCAAAGGAGAATTCTTTAGTTATTAATAAATGTTTTCTGCTGTATTTAAGAGCACTTGGGCACTGGCACAATTTGCCCATGGAGGCTGTGTCTCTGCACTGCTGCTTGGAGAGCAGGATGGGCGATGGTTCAGATCTGTGTAATCCCACCGAGAATATGAGGTGCTTTAGGGGTTTAAGTCCCTTTCAGTCCCTTATCCTACTAATATCTGACTTTTATTTCTCCTTGTTTTAGTAATATGTTTAGTAGTTGAACGTGATCAGAGATTTAAAGATCCTTAACTCATGTAAGTATTAATTAATGAAGATTTGGGACAATCCTGTGAGGCTACTATTCCCATTTTACAGATGGGGAAGCTAAATAAGGCAGATAAAGTGCTCAGGGTTGCACACAGATGCTGTGCTTTCAATTGAGCCCAGGAGTGCTGACTCCTCTGCTTTTCACATCCTCACTACCAGACACATTTATTTTCCTGTTACTACCTCTGCAAAATAGTCCCTTACTCACTGTCCAGAAAGGGCTTTCTCCTCCTTAGAGTGATAAAGTAGTGATCTGAAATCTGAGCAGAGCTCACCTCTGAAGGAAAGGAGTAAATGAACCTGATGGGAAGGATAAGGCTAAGCCTACAGGGAAGCAGTGAATAATTTCTTGTGAACTACAGCAAAAGGAAGAAATACAGAAACGACCAGAAAAAAGGAAGTATTGCTGTTAAGTTGGGTGTCCTTTTAAGTACAGTCTTTCTGTGTCTTGGAGGATTTTTATATAGTATATTTTTTAAGAGCATACCAATAATATTCATAAAATATTAACTTTTAAAAACATCCTTTTTGTATACATCCTCATGTTTTTAACTGCTTATTTTATTTTGTTTCCTTTCTTGGAAGTATTCCCAAGAGGAAAATTGATGTTTTATACCTTCCTGGGAGCAGCCACCTCAGCAGTCAAACAATCATTTTCCACTTGATGCTTCAGCCATGCATAATAGTAACAACAACAATACCACAAAGGGAACTTTTCCTTTACATGCCTAGTTTCAGCCTGCTTAAGACTGATTTTTCACTGTTCATTGGTTTGCCTACCTCCTATAACCCAGCTTCATCACCTCCAGGAAACCTACGCCACAAATGTGGATAAAGAGTCTTAAGCTTAATTTTGCCATTTACCAGATCTGTTAATGCCAAAGTCAGCTTGGGTTACTCTACATGACTGTTCAGTTATCTTAGTAAAACATTTGATTATATTTGATTGACATATGTATATTATAAATATTATATATGATATAAATATTATAAATATTATTTTTTTACATTTTATTATATTTATTATATTACCTTACAGGTGAGATGGAACAGATTCAAACCCTGAACCTTACAAATTTGTTGAGGACTTTTGGTATTGAAAAACAAAACAAAACATTCTGCCACAGCAAGTGCCTGTTGACCTCTGTAGACTTGAACTGCTTTGTAAGGTGACTTAGTGGTGACCAGAACTGGACAATGTTCTTCTACCACACCTGAATCAAGAAAGCAGCTGTGATAAGTATAACATGTATAAAATTTTGGCTGGCTACTAAAGATGGAACATGTAAGTAAAAAATCTAAAGTTGCAGAAAAAGCAATTTGCAGTTTCTGAAGGTCTGAGCTGGGACGACATCGTCGCTCTCCCTGCTTTGCTCAGTGCTGCATATTTCTCTTTTGTCCAGATCTGGCTGAAGAGCAGACAAGACAAAGCCGTCTATTCATTCTTTATAATGTCTTTTTCCACTTTTCATGATACAGTGATTTCCTCAGCTATGCTAAGTGGCCATCACTTCAAGCACCCGATTTCTTACATTTTCCAGCAGAGCTGTGAGCAAGGAAATAGCAAGCCAACAGGAAGAAAAGGCAATGCACAAGGCGTATCACCAACAGCTCGTTTCAGAAGCTCAGTGAGCAGAATCTGTTAATGCAACTGGAAAACTTCTTAGAGGGAAAGAAATAATTTTGATATGCTTTAACCAGCTGTTGGAAGGAAGTGGACTTGAAAAATAAATGGAAAAAAAATAAAAATTAAACCTGCACTTTTTACAAATATGCAATTTCCCACTGTGGGGAAAAGGCAAGTTCTGCTCCTCTTCTGGGCTGTGTGTGAGCTCACCACCTGGATGTCATCTGGCCCACACCACCCAGCATCTGCAGTGTAGTGGGGTTGTAACAGGGCCAGGGAGACCAGTATCTCATTCTTCCTAAAGGCTCTGTTATCCCATGTCCTCTAACAGGTCTAGGCTGTCATCTTGCTGCTAAGCTAAAGGTTAATTGGTAAAAAAGGGAGGTGATGTCACTGTCACCGTTTAATGGCAATACACCTAAGCCAGTCCACCTCTGAAGGCAACACCCGCACCAAGCTGCTGTTGTCAGGAGTGCAAATGACAACGATCTGCATTGAAACTGTGCAAAGGTTTTGAAAATTTCACCGATCTTTCCCTGCACGGGAGAAACAGGCACTATTGTGAATTCAGATCAATATGTAAAACAAGATTTCTGTTAACCCCTGCCCCGAGATGTGTTGTTCCTCATACCCATGCCTTGTCATTGCTCTCCCTCTTCTGTAGGAAAGCGAAAACCGTTCATTCCCCGTTTAACCCAGACACCTTGGTATGCAATTTTTTTTTTTTTCCTGTCAGGTAACAAATAATTAGATGGCTTCTTTCTTCTTATCCCTTATACCTCTTAACAAAGTAAGCAAGTCAAAAGGAAGCAGTTGGCACACATACATCTAAACAACCTTTGAAACTGCTGAACTCAATGGAATAATTGGACATGCTCTGGCAGCCGCGGATCATGATGGAGGGAACATGTACAGCACAGTTTGTTCAGAAACTTCTTCATCTAAAACTAAGCAAAAAAAGCTTTGGTTAGTGCAGCACAAACCTAGTTACAAAGAAGACAGCAGCTGCATTGAGCTGAATGCTATGGTTTTGTACCCAAATAGCCCTCTTTTATGTGTTGCCTTACATTGGCTGACGCTAAATTGAATACACAGCTTGAGGGTTAAGTCATACTCGTGTACAACTGTCTCTGGGATCCCACTGAGACCTTGATGTCATGAAGGACATGGCACTGGGAGATAAACACGAGTTAGTGGGACCTCTGTTCAATTAATCTCCTATATCTGTACCTGAGTATAAAGGACTGTCCGATTGAATTTCCTCCATCCTTGCCTCCTCTGACTTGCTGCTCAGCCAAACAAGAAATCAATCCACATCCTTTATGTACTAAAAGCAAAATTATAGTTGCGACGTACATTAAAGCCATAAACTGCCACGACACCTTGAGGATCTCCAACGTGGTATTGCGATCCAATGTTATTGGAAGATTAATTTTATTTTATGAAAATAAGAATTAATTATGTTGGATCACTTTGTTAAAGTGATTGCGCTGTGGTTTAGTGGTTGACTGTACTCAAGTATTTGGAACTTAATTTGATATTGTATTCCCTACTACAGCCAGGAATATTACTAGTGGGAGATTTTATGAATAAAGATAAATTTGTAATAAACCATGGTACCTACTTAAAACCTCATTATCCCTATGCTGTTCTTTTCCTGGAAAGCTGCACATCAATTTTGGTGCTTGTTTCAGAAAACGCTGTGTTTTTTTTTTCACCTCTTATTCCCTTTGTACATCCCAGCTGGCACTCTGTAACTCTTGGGGGAGGAGGGATCAGAGACATGCAGATTGCAAGGAGGAAGGTAAGCACAAGCAGCCCACGGAGCTTGGTGCAGCCCTTTGTAAGCAGAAGAGGAGAGCAGGAGGCGTTCGGTCGGCGTGGGGCTGCAGCCCCCAGGCTTGGAGCAGGGCTGGCAGCACAGACCTCGGGACCCTCTGCTGTTGGAGAGTTCCCCACTTTTTGGCCGAGGCCTTTTCTTCAGGCCCTTCTGGGGCCCTGTTCCCTCTTTCTGCTGCTCTCCCAGGCACACAGGGCCACTGTCCCCCCAGGGGACACCGTCCACCCAACAGGGTGCTGCTGGGCTCCCTGTGTGCTGGGGGCACTGGGAGCACTGGGAGGGCACCCATCTCTCCCACCCTGGGGCTGGGACCCACTGAGCCTGATGTGGGGTAGGATGTAGGAGAGCTGGGAGACTGACTTTGCTAATTTTGAGGTTCATATCACAGAATCACAGAATCACAGAATTTCTAGGTTGGAAGAGACCTCAAGATCATCGAGTCCAACCTCTGACCTAACACGAACAGTCCCCACTAAACCATATCCCTAAGCTCTACATCTAAACGTCTTTTGAAGACTTCCAGGGATGGTGACTCCACCACCTCCCTGGGCAGCCCGTTCCAGTGCCTCACAACCCTTTCAGTAAAGAAATTCTTCCTAACATCTAACCTAAAACTCCCCTGGTGCAACTTTAGCCCGTTCCCCCTCGTCCTGTCACCAGGCACATGGGAGAACAGGCCAACCCCCACCTCGCTACAGCCTCCTTTAATGTACTTATACAGAGCAATAAGGTCACCCCTGAGCCTCCTCTTCTCCAGGCTGAACAAGCCCAGCTCCCTCAGCCGCTCCTTGTAAGACTTGCTCTCCAGGCCCCTCACCAGCTTCGTCGCCCTTCTTTAGACCCGCTCAAGCACCTCGATGTCCTTCTTGTAGTGAGGGGCCCAAAACTGAACACAGCACTCGAGGTGCGGCCTCACCAGAGCCGAGTACAGGGGGACGATCACCTCCCTAGCCCTGCTGGTCACACTGTTTCTGATATCGGATGTTTCTGTTTCTTTATTGGGGCTTGCTGATTACTGGAGGTCTATCTGCTTGGAGTTAACATTTTATTTTTTTTTTTAATATGTCTATAAGCCACTAACAAGTTAAAAAATTCTTGATGTACTTCTTGCCCTTGTCAATCACACTGTCAATCTGGTTATTCTCCCAGCACAAGGTCTAGTCAAAGCCTGTAAATTCCTCAGGCTAAACGTCCTGCTCCAGCTGAATTGTATTGGTTGCAAGAATAGAGGAGGGCAAGCAGAGAGGGATTAGGCTGCAAGGAGACCTGATTGCATACAGGTGTGCATTAAACCCTGAGGTTTGGGTGCAGCCTAGAAATATGGGAGGGTTACACTTAGGTCAGGTCTTTCAGGCCAGGGTTAGGTTTGATGTGATCCAGCGAGAGGGGTTTGGCAGAGAGCGACTTTAGGTGGGCTATATTTTGGATTAAGGCTTGAACCAGACAGGGCTGAAACCACGTATGGTCTTTCAGTGGTGCTCAGCCCAAGGGAGCTTTGCGCAGCCGGGGAGGGGACAGTGAGATGCTGTGAGCCAGGTAAGCCTTGGCTGGAGCCTTTTCACCTGAGCATGTCCTCGTCTCTGGGAGTCTCACTGGATGCTGTGTGTTTCTAAGTCATTTTGCTTCTGAAAACAGAGATTAAGCATTGTCTGGGCTGCTTTTCTCAATACTTTGGAAATCATTACCCTAGAAACAGTGTTAGCTTAAAGTGATTATGGATGTGGAGGTATGGAAGTCTCTCTTAAGCTGATTTCTATCATGACAAAGCTTGGTTCTCTGAAACCCTTTTTCTCTTCAGAATTGTCAGCCCTCATGTATCATGGTAGTACACAGTGTCTAAAAACACCATGGAGCTTCTTCATTTTGAGAGAGCCTGTCTAGTAAGCCTGGCATCAAAATTGCAATTTTTTCCTTGTGAGACTGGCAGCTGCCAGAGAACGTGATGTATCAGTCTGATTGTACCTGGAAAATAAGTACTGAAAGGCTCTGCCTCTCATCTCCCTCCTGTGGCTGGTACTTACCAATGCTCTGCTGGAGAGCAGCCCTTGCTGAGCTGAGCAAATGGCACTCCGAGCTGCACCAGGGGCTGCTGGCATCTGGAATGATCGGGATCTTTCTGCTAAATGGAGCTTGAGAGGGCTTTGGGATGATCAGTATATGGGTTGTCATTTATGTGACCTACTTGACCCGGGATGCTCTTACGCAGCATCATGTAAAAACTGATAACAGATGTAGCAAAACTTCCCGCATAGTTGATAAATATGCATGTACTCCTTAGCCACATGGGGTTAGGAGAAATTTTATTCTGCACAAAGAATAAATCTGAAGCTAATTCTTTTGTTGTTAGTATTTTTGTTTTGTTTTTGAAAACTTGGGTTTAGAATTTAAAAAATATCTTTTGGCAGAATAAATACTTTTTTTCTTTTTCTTTTTTTTTTTTTTTTTTCTGAACTTGTTTATACCTAGAACACAGATAAAGTCTCTGATTGAATCTGATTTTATTTACATTGGCTTCCCAACAAACAAGTTCCTCTGACTTTGAGAAACTGCTGCAGTCGTGGTTCTGGGCACAGTGAGGCTTGCTCCACCTGCTGCTTACAGACTCCTTGCCCTCAGTAGCTGCTTCTCAGTTTACCCTTCCAGTATTTGTGCTTTCATTCCACTTTCACAGCTTTGATGCTTTTTACTGTATTGAATTACACTTGCTTGCCTCTTGTAAAATGTTCTTTAAATATGTTATGCCAGGATTAAGCTGCTGAAATATAAGTATGAAATGTCACCATCAGCTCACTATCAGACAACTGTGGTGGAACACAATGTGCAAAATACTCGAGATCCCTGTCTGCTACTTGAGCAGCAATTTCTGCTGAGGAACTTCTTTGCCCACGAGTGCTCAGCTTTGTGCATTGCAGCTTCTCTGTTCCCTGCCGCATCAACTGGTGTAAGGGCTACCTGGGCTGCAGTGGGAGAAGAAGCAGTGGTTACAGTGTCATTGTTCAGTGAGAATACTCTAAGCTCAGGAATAAAATCTTTTCTTCCTTCAGCTGCAAAGGGCTTGCACTTCATCTTATCTTCAAGGCTAATTAAATCACAAAACAAGAAATTGAGCCAATTGCCATGTATTTAGTGCACTTGTACCTAATGAAAAACCTGAGCCATTGGAAGCAATCTAAAGAGAAACTTTTGAAGAATGATTCTTTCCCCTTCTCCCTGTGATGGGTTGTTTTAATACTGGAAGCTTGAGTGCTAAATGCTGAGTGCTGTTGCAGCTCTTATCCAACAGATACCTGACACTGAAGTTCGAACAGTGTTCATTTGAACAGGCTGGATTTCAGGAAGACATTGCTATTGACAGTTATCCCTTGCAAGTAATGTATTTTAGTTAATGGGTAATTTTGCTGGGTATTTGTTTTGAAAAACATGTTGAATCTTCCAGGAATGTGGAACACTCCACCTGTTTCTGTTACGGCCCAGTGAAGTCAACTGAAAAATTCTGCCTACAGTAATCTCTTGCATATTTTCTTCTGGGAGGAAGAGGAAGGGCAAGGCAGCTTTCTGAACCTTATCACCAGTACTAAGTGTAGGTGAGGAATAAAAGACAAAGCCCCACAATTTTCATGTAAATTGCTGATAAGTAACAGCATCAAAATGTAGCGCCATGCAAAAAGCAGATAATCCAGCTGATGCCCTGTTGGTGGGAATGAGAAGGCATCATCCTACTGCTGCTCAGGCTAGGAGCACATGTAGACATAGACAATTCCAGGTGCAAGAATTGCTCAGTTTCAGTGCTGCTGAAAAGACCGAAGTGAGAACAATAATGTTGTCAAGCAGTATTATTGTTTAACAAAGCTGAAAATAATTCTTAAAAGGAGGCATTTTATACACAGCAATAGGCACTAATGTCCAATTTCTGAGGCAAGTCTGTGGCTATTCATGAGGCTATGCTGGAACAGTCAAGGATTTGGTGCTCTGTTTCTGGGGGCTCATTCAAAATAAAAAGTGGAGGGGTGTTGAATTTCAGTCTGTTCATCCACTAATTGGTTTATTTTCGTCTTGGGCAGATAAATGATCAGCCTGATAAGTCAGACAATCTGAAAGATTCTGGCATTTATCAGTATGAAGGAAGTACTGCAGTTACTTAGAAGCACAGTAGTGTTATCTCCCATCTACTCCCCAGGCATATTTTTGCCTGAAAAGCTCTGTTTTTATCAGTAGCAGTTCTGTGTTGTGTCTCTGTGGTTACAGAAGACAGAGGCTGGATCAGAATAGAGGGAACACATCTGGGTGCTGTTTGACTGCTGTGCTAGGGATTGCTGCCTATTGACTATGCAGAAGAGCACATTTGTTTGGCTTTTCAGATTGTAACTCAAATTAAAATAGAGTATTCCCATTCAAACTTCAAAGGGGGTCAGTTGACCTGAATTACTGAGACTGTCATAGTTCAGTCCTCTGGCAGCACCTCAGCGTTGTCTGCACCAAGGCTCCTTGGTACCTTTCTGACTTTATTGACAAGGAGGAGTGCAGACCCGTCCTCAGACATAAACTGTAGCCATGGCTGAAGCAATGGTGTTATATGTACTACAGATAGAAGCCTAGTGAAGGTGAGGCTGCAAAAAACCTCCTGGAGTAATCTCTACATCATCCCTTCTCCATCCCTCATACCTATTTGGTTTGTGCTAGAAAAACTTCTGGAGGAATCTAAAGCCCTTGGCTGTAACACTCAACTACAAGAGCACTTGAGGCAGCTGTGCTGTGCTGATGGGGCTGGGATTTGGCCGGTGGCTTTATTGCATGTATTTGGTGTTGATTAAATACAAGAGCATCTGATGGTGTTCCAAGGCAGTGGCTGTGTAACCTCCTTTGATTGCTGTCCTTATTATAATGAAGGATAAACTATCAGCTTATAAAACTCAGAAAAAGAAAGCGGTTGGGTCTATGTATGCAAAACCTCTGGAAAAATATTGAATAATATAGATCTTGTGGACTGTGTTAGGCTGCATAGCAATTAAATTTTAGTTTACTGTATCTGAACCAAAAATGATTGTTATAGATTGGAAAAGCGAGCAGTTCTTTATTCTGTTGGCAAAAGGACAGACTAAATCAAACACTCACAAAATGTGCTTTTAAATAGTTTTCATCCAGGACCGTCCTAATTGGAATTACTAGTTAATAAATACCTTTTGAATTTTAAGTGGTGATGGGCAAATGTGAATTCAGGATGTATATTAATGAGGAAACTCCTCTTACATGGTTTGAAAGGACAAGCCTGGTTTTGTTTTGTCTTTGCAAGGACAAAGATGTGTTCATCTCATGGCTTCATTATGGTTGTGCAAGGTGTGACAGAAGCTTGACCTTTTCATCATTTTGTATTCTCCGTGAATCCCTTCGTTTCTCACTCATTCTCAAGGTATGGGCTTTCAGATACCGGGAAATTAAATGGCCTGCAGTAACTCAGCAGTGCAAAGTCAGAACTGGAATATTTATAACTTGTTTAGCCTGAAGTATACTCCAACCTTACTGAAGACCCAGCACCAGACTGAAGTAATAAGAACTATAATACATTGACATATTAATGAGGAACACTTAGAGAACTGCAACTCTTCCAAGCATCTCAGAATACCTAATTATGAAAAAAGATCAGTGAATGGAAATGTGAGAAACTGAGACGGGCTTCTGTGAGGAGGAGCAGCAGGAGAGTGGACAAATTTGATCCAGAGTCAAATAACTGGTATGACCCTCTCTGCTATGATTGGGGGCAGAATGCCTGCTGAAATAAAATGTGACTTGCCTGGGTAAAGGCACAAGTCTTCTGGCACTGACATCCAGCTGCTCGATGGATCCAGCTGACCTGCTGCCTTTGCTGTTAGTTAAGGAACACAATGAGTGCCCTGTGGGGTCACAGCATGCAGAAGGGGTGATGGAGCACGGAGCGAGGTTTGGAGCTATGAGGGGCTTGGCGCTTGCTCAGAGCTGCTGGGGAGGAGCGATGGGCAGTGCCTGGGGCACACGTTCTGGGAGAAAGTGAGGTTAGTCCTGCCTGCAGGTTTCTTGCCGCAAAGCCTACTGCACAAAGGGAAATGCCTTTGCATTCATGCAGGCTGCCCACAAAGCCCTGGCATATGTCAGAAGTAGTCGTGCATGTGTTTTAGCACTAAGAGCAGTGTCTCACTGATGTTGCTTTGCTGCCTGCCATGGCTTCTCTGTTCCTTTTCTGCTGTCCCCTGGGCAGGTATCCACTCAGGCCTTATTTTGTGCAGAACTCGGCTCAGTCGGCTCTTGGAGGCATGTCTGGCGGAAAGCACTTAGGGCAGGTTTGCCCTGTGTAGTGACTGCAGAACTACAGCATTTCAGGAACTGAAACAATTTGATAAAACAGCTTTTTTTTCTTGCTTGGAGACAAAACTTTTATTGTAGCAAATGGAAATAAAATCAATATACATGGAAATGACCTGCATTTTGGGATCCTGGGTATTGTTGATTTAATACTATTTACTTAACGGCTTGGTAAATGTGTGGTTTGTCTCGATAGATTTTTGAAGAAAAGAGTAATGTTTTATAGTAAACGGTATAAAATTCAAGTGAAGGCATCTTAATCAACTCCTATAAAAATTAAATGAGCGATTGAACATGTCATAAGCTGAAGTCATATTTTATCATGCTACTCATTAATGCTGGAGCTTCTTTGGTGATGGCTTCATTAATATTCAGGAGGGTTTTAGTGCAGAAGTGCTCCATCCTTCTTGGGGTTGCTTCCTTCCTTGTCTCCATCCAAAACACTGACCCTGTCCAGTCTCTTAGAAAAAGTAGATTTTTCTAAAGCTTCTGTTTAATGTAAGCGCACATAATGAAATTCAGGATTATGCAGAGATCTTATTATTCTGGGGGCTTCCTGTACCATTTTGCTGTGGAATATAATCAAGCTGCTCATATCTGCAGTGTTTGGGAAGGGCTTGGATGAGTCAGTCTAGGATATAATGCCACAGGACCGTGGGTACTTGGCCTGGTTCAGCTAATAGAGCCAATTTAAGGAGCATTTGGGCTGGTGAAGAAGGTTATTAAACAGAGGTAGCCTGTTTGAAAGGTGCATCCTTCCTCGGAAGGCTGAGAGCCTCTGTCAGTAGCAGGGTTGGAAGCAGTGGGATTTTAAAGGCAGTGACCTGGGGCTTAGCAGACACCTGAGTGTGTAGGTGTGAAGGTCTCTCAGCCTGGGGCAGGGAGGTCCTTGTGAAGAAGTCCCTGCCCTGTGGAAAGGGTCCTAGTGGCATCCATGGTCTGGGAACACTCTGAAAAGCAGTTTATAAGGGATTGCCAGGAAGGAGGTTTAATTTCTTTCTTAGACTGAGGAGGCAGGTTGGTAGCGCATAACTTCTCGGAGTATGGATGTCTTTCCACTGAACATAAAATGAGACTGAATTATATATTGTTTCATGTATTTATTTTATAAAAGGCAAAAAAGTGTACTGGAAGATCAAGTACCTGTCTTCAGTGAAGAAATCTCTAGTAAGAAATTTGTAGATGAATGTCTTCCTAGCTTCCGCAGCAGTGGTAACAGTGAATGACAAATACAACTTCCAAATGAATACATTTGCGTCCATATTTATTGCAGGCAATCTTGAAATATCCCGAAGCAAAAGAGGCTCATGTTGTGAAAAAGAGACATTAAGGTGACATTGGTAAGCAAAGCAGTGGCTTCCTTATGAAAAGTGTGAAGTGCTGGGGGCAAACCCAAGAACTTCAGTGCAGTGTTTGTGGGAGGGAAATGTGCTGCGAGTGGGCTACCAGGTGTCCCACTGGGAAGGGGAGAGACCTCTGAGCCCTGCTTTTATTTGTGTTTGTGCTGATGAGATTTAGCTCCTCTGGAGAGAATGGTGCTGTCGTTCATTTGCAGTGACACTCATGCAAAGGTGGCTTTCCCAACTAGCTAAACCGATGCTGTTGAGTTCAAGCTTAGAGGTAGTTCTCATTCATGGTTTTTCTCCTTTTCTCTCCCCCTGGTACTTCTCAGCTACTCCATGCAATATTTTATCACTGTCTTTTCATCAAGGTTTCTTCTACAGCAATAACTAATTGAACACATGGCTGTTGGATTTTTTTTTTTTTCCAGAGCTGGGTACCTCTAAGAGTTGGATAGCGGGGAAGCCTTCACAGTGAGGACGTGGCTTTATTATAACCAGAGTTCATAGCAGCGCCGAGCAGCTGAGAGCTGCGAGGAGGAGGATGCTGAGAAATACATGCCAAGTTGCTTGATGTTCCTTTCCCAAATGTCTTCTAATTTTAAACACTTAAATAATTGACTATTTATAAATGTTTCAATGGAAAAATCCCCAAGCTCAGTGACAGATGGTCAGTCGCACCTTGAATGAGATGATTATTGTAACAGTCAGCACAGATCTCTGAATAATGCCTTTCCCACTGACTCCGGTGTTGCTTATTTGGGTCATGCTGAAAATAGCCTTAGCTAAAAGGTGTATGAAGCATCTGCCAAAGCATGTAATCTGTCTCTGTTTCAGCCCTCCTAAGTAAATACACTTGAACATTGAGATGGCAACGAAGTAGATGAATACAAATGTTCAGAGTCAACTTCTTTTGGCAGGAGTGATGATTTTTTATTTTTTTTTAATAAACTCTCCCCCCTTGAATCTGCATTTGTTGTTCCTCTTTGGTGGAAAATAAGAGTAACTTGTAGAAGATCTCTACCTCTCATCAAGGAAAACACTCAGCTCCCTCTCCCTTGTCAATACATAAGAACAAATGGTTCTGCAGAAGTTAACTTCTGGGGGTTTGTTTTTTAGCATTGTATCGTGAGGTGATGTTGATGGTTCTCTTGTCAAGGCAGTAAGCAGAGAGTCATACATCTTATAGTAAAGAGATGTTAAAGAAATTCATTCACTGTGCCAACATGAATTGTGACTCATTTCAGCCTCCTGAGCTGAGGTTAGCAGTGCTGAATTCCTGCTGTATCCCAATTTCATTTGTAAATCCTCTCTTTTATGCAATTTGCTGAAGCCCTGAAGACAACCTATTCATTAACTCTTTGAAATAGGATATTAAAATGTCAAAGTCAATCATAAAGCTGACAGAATTGCAAAGATAACCATTTCCTTATCAAACACACCCAGAATTAAATGATCTGTGCATCCTCAGATCAGTCCTGCCGGTGCCGAGTGTTCTTTGCTCCCTCTGCGTGCGGGAGGTTTCTGGTCTCACTGGGCCTGATGGGGTGTGCTGGGGGTTATAAAGGTGGACCCCCATTCCATGGAAAGATCACATTCAAGCAGGGAGCCCTGCCATGCACTCGTTTAAACTACCTCGCCATGTCGGTGATACTGAGGGCTCCTTTTGCTACTCCATATCCTCTGGATTTTCCAAAAGTAGTTGAAGTGGTGTGAAGCTTCACAGAGCAGCTGCATACCTAAAATCCATTCTTTTGAGCACTGTAGAAGAGAAAACTTCCTGCCCTGTAATTTCTCTCCGTATTTACGGCTCAGCCCTCGCCACCCGGGCAGGCATTGCACAGCTCAGCTCAGTGCAGGGATGTTGACCAAGCTGGGGCAGCCTCTTGCTGTGGGGGTCCCTTTTCTGTTGTCCCATGGCTGAGGTCAGGCAGCCCCTGCCCCTGGGGCCGGTGCCTCCTGCAGCCCCAGGCACCATGGCGCTGATGTGCTCCTGCGCTGGAAGCTCTGGCTGGAAGCTCCCCAGTGCTGCTGTCTGATGTCAGCAGCTATTTTTAGTGCTAGCGAGGAGTTCGGAGTGCTGTCTGCATTGTAAATTCAGTCCTTGCCTGGTTTTGTGCGCTGCAATGTCCCGTGTTACGTGAGTTGGCGTGGGCTACAGCGGAGAAGGCAGGCTCCTGAGCTCCAGGCCTTGAACTGTGAACAAAATTTTCTTTGCACTTGCTGCAGGAAGTGGTTGAACACTTTCCAAGCCTGAAATGAAAAACAAAGGTAATAGCATCCCTGTTTTCTGAAAAGACAGAGTCATCGTCTGTCAGACTGAAGAGTGCATTGACTGCATCATTTCCCCCTTTTTGTGGTTACTCAGCTGTCTTTGTCAAGGACAATTTTTGAGTGGCTCGGATTTTAATACCCTGCCACATGCTATCCTGTAATTCCTGCTCTTTGGAGAACCTGTGCTAAATTATGCATAAACGCCCATGCACTCCGTGGCAGCCAGCAGTACTATTTTGTTTGCAAAGAAGCTTCTAAGTTCTGTGAATGAAATTTCCGGGGTGAGTGCTGGTGGCATTTAACTGGCATTTAACAGGAATTACCTTCACGACCACATCCCAGTCCATAAAATGGATATAAACCTTTGTCTATTTCTATTAACTTGTGCAGTGAGTGAATTGGGGAGACAAATTGTATTCAGCAGCTCCAGTTTGTCATGCCCCTCTTTCATCATTTTTGTTTCCTTCTGTGTTTGCCGCTTTATTGCCTCAGCTGAAGTTTCTTTATTGCGACTGGGACGGAGTGGACGGTGTGTGACAGCCATTAGCCGAGTTTCCGAACGAGCGAGTTTTCAGATGGTGGCAGTATAAGACATTAAATAGAGTGGCCTCTTCTGCTGGGAGAGCCGTTCCTCTCCTCTCACACCTCCTCGGGAGCTGCTGGCAGCCAGCAGTGCTGGTGGCTGTGGCTGCGGAGAGGCAGCGGGGACTCACGGCTGTGTCCCTGTGCCAGGAGGGGCTTGCAGGGGAAGACAGCTGCAACTCAACCCAGTCCCCTCTCACTCTGGAAAGCAGGAATTTGGGGCTTGCTGTTGCTAGCAGTAGATCGGTACCTGGGTCTGGGTGGGTTGCATGGGCCAGCGTGTGCATCTCTGAGCTGGGATATCGGCGGTTACACAAATCCTCAGATCAGCGGTTACACAAATCCTTGTGGTGAGGAGGACACGAGCATACAGATTGCCATCCCTTCTGCAAAGCCCACACATGGGGTAAGAACAGGTGTTAAGCATCCCAAGCTATGCGTAAGGGCAAGGTCATGTCCATAGCCAGAAACCAGTTTTTACTATACTTAAATTGCAGGATTATTGCTATGTACCCCTGGGGATAAGCCAGGATGTGAATTACAGCTTTATTTCTGGGCACAGTGAGCCAGGGGGACCATCCTGACTCCCAGGCTGTGGAGTCTGGTGCTTTTGCTCTGCACAAAACAAACTCATTGTGCGGGGTGGAACCACTTGGAGCAGAAATAATGCCACTGGTCTAAAAGCTTTGTGCAGAGCTAACACTGAGGTACATCTCGGATTTTTCCTCTGCCAGGCTCTAGCTGCCAACAAGGAGTTTCTTTCCCCCCTCAGTGAAAACCAACCCAAACCAGGTGTTTTCTCAGTCCAGTTTTCCAAATCAGTCTTAAATTTCTTGCTTTCAAGTATTTTGAAGATGTATTTTGTAACTATTCATACATGTTTATCTACAAAATCAGTGTAGCATGCCAGCAGCGCAGCTCACAGGCCATGACATGCATTTAATGCTGCAGCTGCAAGTCCTTGCCAATGTGGAAACGAGGCCAAGACAGCCAAAGGTGCTGTCCCCAGGTATATGCTGAGTTTTGGGCACCTTTTAAAGCTCTGAGGTTGAGCACGGCTAACTTTAGTGTTATGGCTATTCCCACTGAAACTGACGGCACGTCTGGAGAGAGGAGAGAATCGCAGCGTGTGAAAATAATTCCAGGATGGGGAGATAATGGCCCTATTTCTTGCAAAGCCGTGGAGCTCCTGGTGTATTGCAGTGAAGCTGAAGGAGCAGATATATGTGGTCATAACAAAAAATGAGTAAGGAGTTAAGTGAGCATAAAAGCAAAACCCCTGGGTTTCTTGGCAGAAGTTTTCAGCAGGTCGATGCAATCCCTGTTCCACCGCGGTGACCTTCAGGGCTGCGCTCCCTGCGCGAGCTGGGGACTGCTGAGCGATCACCCGTGTGGCCTGCCTGCTGCCGGGGTATTTTTGGCTTTCAGTTTTGTCTCAATCACCGAAAGGTCAATAAACCGCTCATTTATTTTAGGAGCGAACGGTTCACTGAGCTGACAAACCTCGCGTCTCTCAGTGCTGCAACATAATAGGACTTCATCTGCCTTGCAGTACTCTCGCAGATCTAGATTTGTAGCTCTTGAAGTAAAGTGGACACAAGTTGGCTACCCAGTAATGGAAATTTAACCTTTTTCCCCTTAATTTTCCTTATTTTTCCAAATGGGAATATTTCCAGAAATACGCTCTCAGTGCTGCATCAGTCCACCTCTGTCACTCTTTCAGATATCAACAGAGTTGATTCAGGACACTTTTTTTTTTTTTTAATGGTCTTTTATGACCATTGTATGAGCAAGCCCCAAATCTTCTGCAATTAAACCAAGCTGTCCAAATATAAAATTCTGAAGGATGAAGAAAAGGACAGTAATTTACTGTGTGTGTGTGAGGGGTGGTGGAGGTGGAATCTGTCCTATTTTAGACTGAGTAAGGCAATGCCCCTGGAGCTTCTTCAGGTCATTATGGTTTCTTTTCTTATAAATAAAAAGAGGTGTAGTACACAAATAATGCATGAACAGGGAGGACAGCAAGGAAGCTCTTTCCTGCCCAGTGGTATTGAGATGGCTTCCTTGCTCTCCTAAATGGAGATTATAGTAGGATGTCAAATAGTAGGAGGCACAGTTTGGGTAATGGTTGCCATAACCAGGGTTGTATCATTTAAATGATTAAACTATTGATAAATGGTTAAGTTATTTTAAAGTACAGCTTAAAATTGTATTTTAAATTGTCTAGTTATGTCATTGTAAGGGAAATTAATAGGACATTTACTTACGGGTTGTGCAGAACCCAGACACTGGAAGGAGCACAACTGATGGACCTCTTGGCTGAGCAGTTGTTGGAATATCCTGAGCCAATGTGGCTGCTGTTTAAAAACACAAAACCACCAAAACCAGATGGTCAGTGCTGCCTAATTTAAAGTACATCTAATTTTCCCACTGGCTTTTTGGAGCCTAAATGCCAGTGAACATATTGAGCATTACAGAGACATAAAAAATGTTTTAAAATTTACAGTAAAAATAACTTGTGGAGAAATATTAATAAAGATCCTTGATTCATTAACAAGATCCATGGCTTAAATTTCAGCTTACACAGTGATAAATAAGAGGAAAGTAGTCAGGAGTGCTAGGATGGCTATGAACGGAGCTGTTGTCCATGGATAAGGATGTGAGATTAACTGGAAAGCAGCCTTGGACTTTTCACTATGGCTATTTCAGATGGATCTCTGCCCAACTGGTGAGTCAATTTCCAGACTGACAGAGAAGCTTAGTGCCCTTGCCTTCATACCAGATAAATGGATTGATTCAAGAAAAAGTTAGAATACTTGGGATGAAATGCTTTGTTTTTGGTTTAAAAATAGCGGAACAGAAAAGCAACAAGAGTTAACAGAAGAGAGTTCTATAAAGAATGTCTTTAAAGGCTTAACTTAATGTACTTCAGAGCAAACTCTGAGCACCAGAAAGTATATGGAAAACAAATCTAATTTTAAAATAACAAAGATAAACCCATAAAGCTGATCCTATCAAGCTTCATTTCAGTTGTGGAATAAAATGCAGAGCTATTTTAACAGATGTAGCTCTGAGCACGTGACAAAAGCATGTTGATTGAATGTATAATCAGCACTGGATCAGACAGAAGTGGAATTGGTAGAGATTCCAATAACCTTCAGGAATTCCTACTTAAGACACTTAAGCAATATTTTTCTGAAGGCAACAAAACCAAACAAAGAGATGTAAACTGGAGTTGTGCAGCACAACCTGTCTGGACGTCAGAGAGTGCTTCATTTGTGCTGTGCCGTGCCGCAGCCCTGGCACAGGCTGCAGAGCTTGGGGGGGCTCTTCCTTGGGGTT